AGCGGCTGTCAATGGGACAGCCACTAGAGGAAATAGGGGAAGGTTTAACCATTGATAAACACAGCAGTTTCTCTGAAACTGCTATGTTTATGAAAAAATGGGTTAACCCTAGCTGGACCTGGCACCCAGACCACTTCATTAAGCTGAAGTGGTCTGGGTGCCTAGAGTGGTCCTTTAAGTGTGTGTGCATCTGCATGCACTGGTGTACATACCGCGGTCGCAGCCCTGTAACCCCTGCGACCAGGTGCCCACCGCCATGTGTTGCGGCCCGCGCGCGCGGGGGGAGGGGGGGCCCACGGATCAATTTTCGCACCGGGGCCCCATGGGTCATGTGTACGCCACTGCTCTGCATTATATACACACACACTCATACAAGCACACACACTCTGCATTATATACACACACACAGCATTCATTATATACACACTGCATTCATTATATACACACACACTGCATTCACACAAACACACACACTCTGCATTCATTATATACACACACAAACACACACACATTCTGCATTCATTATACACACTACACAAACACACACACTGCATTCATTATATACACACACTACACAAATGTACACACACACTGCATTCATTATATTCACACACTAAACAAACAAACACACACACACACACACACTGCATTCATTATATACACACACTACACAAACACACACACACTGCATTCATTATATACACACTGTAACTAAATATTCGATTAATATAATTTTATTGGGATCTAATTTTATTTAGAAATTTACCAGTAGCTGCTGCATTTCCCACCCTAGGCTTATACTCGAGTCAATAAGTTTTCCCAGTTTTTTGTGCTAAAATAATGGGCCTCGGCTTAAATTCGGGTCGACTTATACTCGAGTATATACGGTATTGTAAACATGATTCGCATCGAAAGCCAATCAGGCGTGGCCTGACCAAGGAACGAGCTGGACGTGTCTGTGTAGAGCTCTGTTCCCAACATGCCGAAAAAAGCCAACAACAGTGATAAATACATTAATACTCCACAACTAATGGAGAAGAGGAACCCCAAAAAGCACCCCAGGAAGGGACCCGAAGCCGAGACATTGGTGGTGGACATGCTGGCCGCACAAAAGATCGGGCTGTCAGACTGCCAAGATGGCGCCGGACCAAGCTCCACTTCACAGCTGCCCTCACCACGCGCAGCTGCAACTGAGGGGCCCAGAGCGGGATACACCTCGCAGCTATAATCCAGACTAGCGGAGGTGCAGAGTTTTCTGGCAGGGGGAGATAGAGAGATCTACATCCGTCCTGCACGCCGAGATCTTCACACTGGGCGCGAGTACCGCCAGACTTGAGGACCGCATGGAGGGCACTGTCAAGGCCCACAACATGGCTGCCGCACAAGTCAATAGGCTCACAGCCCTCATGGCAGAGGCTAAACTAGCACTGGAAGACATGGCCAACAGGAATAACCTCCACTTGAGGGGCTTCCCTGAAAAAGATGGTGAGGGATCCCTGCAAGATACTCTTCTCTCCTTATTCAAGCCACTGATTCCAGACCTACCAGAAGACCAGTGGCACATTGAAAGGGCTCACAGGGCCCTCCGCGCCAGGCGGCCAGACTCCAACTCTATTGTTATCATCAGATTTCTACACTTCCAAACGAAAGAGGCCTTGATGCAGAGGAGCAGAGACGAGAAAATACAGTACATGGGATCAGACATCCAACTGTTCCAGGACTTGGTGCCCAGTACCCTCCAGCGATGACGGGAGTGGAAGCCTTTCACGGAGGCCTTGAGGGGGTCCAACATACGATATGCCTGGGGATACTTATTTAAATTACTGGCGTTCCGTGAGGGCAGAGTCCACGTCCTCTCACCCGGAGGGGACCCACAGAGCTTCTTTAGTGCCCTTGGGGTGGTGCCCCCACGGGGCCTGCCTAGATTTGCAGGAGTTGGAGATCCTTCTGATCAAATGGCAAGAGGCTGGAGGCGGGAGACGCTGTTGACTGGATTGGATATAGTAATGTAGTAGCCGGGGCTCGAGGTGATGGCTTGGAAGACGGGGATACAGGGGGGGTCTGTGACAAGACTGCTTTGGTGGGAGATGAAATGGAGGGAGGAGAGCCCGGACTCAGCTATTGCCCCACACATCTCAACGGGAACTGGGGGACCTTCCGTCAGAAAATCAGGCAGAGATGGGAGATGGTGGTTGTTGGGAGGGGGGGCCTCGGGCTTACCCTCTTGCTTGCACTGTGAGTGGCTGAGGGGGGGAAGTGTGCCTACCCATCTGATGCCGACCAGCAACATAGGAAATGAGGGCAGGCAACCTTTAGGGGGTTTGCCTCGTACCGCACCGGGTCGGAGAGTGAGGGGCCTGAGCTTCTTCCTCCACGCACTAAGCCTATGACCATCATACTGGACCAGGCCCCAGGGCCACGCTTGTGTCACTGGGGGTAATGGAGGACACCCACTTGGCCTTATGCCTCTCCAAGACTCGTATAAAAAATGTTCAAAATATGAAGCACGATGGGGCATGTCCACTCATCTGACTACAGAGCAACGAAGGGGTGGGCATAAATGTCAATGTCAGGGAGGGAAACTGGGACACTCTAGGGGGGAGGGATGAGCACTACTTAAGGCAGAGTAATGAGGAAAGGGGGGAATCTGCCCGTATATGCGCAAAGCAAGCGCGGGCTCAGAGACCAGGGTAGAGGGTGGCAATCCCAGGCGGCCCAAATTGCGCCCCAGACAGCAGCCCCTTATGGGCATCATAATAATGAGAGAAATGCCCCACCCACACCCGACTCTACACCCATAGTGGATCGCATGAGACATACACACACTCTCCCCTCCCCCCCCGCAGAGGATAGGGATGTTACTACCAAGGCTATTGTAACGGATCACCTGGCACCCCGACTGGGTACCTCCATTGAAGTATGCTCCTAGCACTTCCTGAGGACTCCAAGCACTGCAGCAGACACCACAACCACCGAACCGGAGAAGCATACGAATGCTCTCAAGCATATGAATGCTGTAAGCAGCTGAACAGGAAAAGCATACAATCATCTTACACTCCTGGCAATCAGCATACAATCCAACTCCCCCAATAACTAGACGACACTTCGTTTTGAGGTCAAGCAGAACTGACTGTACTGGCACATACAGCCTCTTTTATTCCCAATCCACAAATTTAGTACTGCCCACAGGGTTTTACAGAACAACCAATTACACACGTACATTACAGAAAACACTCCCAGCAATTATACACAAAATCCTCCCCTCTTCCTGTAATATAATTATGGTACACAATGGGTTAACATAATTATCACAAGCAGGAAAAATACAGTTTTTATACATGTGCTATAACTTTAAAAATATACATCCAATCTTCATAATTGCTTATTCAGAATCAGCACACTTTAAACATAAACACTCTAAAAAATCAGACAAATCCATCCAATAGATAAAAAGTTAGCTAGGAGTCCTTTATGACACAGAAAAATGACTAAGTCCTATTTGAATGCACGAACGTATGGCAGTGAGTTCAAACTGCCGAACGGGACTTAGTCTCTGCAGCTGAAAACTGAGTGTAGGAGAAGGTAAGGGTCAGCGGTGTTCGTTGAAATGTGTAGCCGATTTCAGTTCCATGGATTTGGCTACACATACCGCTGACCTCGTTCGAATGAACAAAGATGGCCACCGCCACATGTTCGTTTGTCGAATGGCGGCCACTTCGACTACTTCGGCACTTCGGCTGCATCCAAAGTGCCAATTTAAAGCTGCAGAACTGCTCCAATACAATTTAAAGGGGCAGCAAGTCTTTTAAAATCCAATCTGCTAAAATAGTCTTTAACAGGCAATATCTTCCAAGGGCCATAGTCTTAAAGGGGCATTGTTCCCAAAAGTCACAGTATGTCCCCAGATGGCTCTTAAAGGGCCAGCAGCATAATAAAATACAATATGCCCAAATACTGTATTTAAAGGGCCAAATCTCCCAGGGGCCATAGTCAGCAGACAGGAGGCGGGCAAACAGGCTTCTCCAATGCCCAGTGGTGAGGTTGGTTTCGCCACAGCTATGTACTGGTGAAAAGCCCTTTGGTTGCTACAGGTTTATATGTGTTCTAACTGATTAAATGTTTATTTGTTACTTTCAGACCTTAAGAAATGCGCTTAATGTAATCACAGGAGTAGTTGCTGCTGAAATATACACGTGCTTATGGCTATAGCACACTGGCATGTATCGGTTTCAGGCTGTAACCCACATCTCTCTCCAGCGCTGGACGCAATGGGGGTGCTGGATCCTGAACCCCACCACAGTGGCCACTGGTAAGACCAGACAAATTTGGTGGCACACACAGTGTGCGCTGCTTTGGTTTTCTTGCTTTTCTTCTCTCTCTCTCCCTGCTCTCTATTCCTTCTTCCCCTTGTCCTTCTATCCTTGTGGGGCGGGGTGGCGGGGTGGGAGGCCTGGGGGGGGTGGGGCTGGGCAGTGGCATCTCTAGGATTAATTTTTTTGTGGGGGGGACATGGTGGGCCAGGGACAAAAGTAGGGGGGCACATTTAACCACGCCCTTGCCGCAGTTTGACCCCGCCCCTGCTGCATCTTAAGCCCCTCCCCTGACACAATGGTTTTTTTTTTGTTTTTTTTTTATAATCCCTGGTGGAGGATTCATTATTTTCCACTAGGGATTATTAAAAACACAAACACGTTTCCCTTGATACAGTGCCATAGATGCCAACATTTGAAAAAAAATTCCAAGGACATTTTGCAGAACAGCTATCAATTACTACCTTGAAAGTTTACCACACCCACTGCCGCAAAACTCGACCCACTATGTCCAACCAACATAATTAATCTCCGCCTATTTATCACAGTACAGATTACAGTCTAATCAATAAAGAGATAGTTACAGGGAATTGAGATGGTAGTTTTAAACTTAGGGCCAAAGTAGTTAGAAACATTCTCATATTCAGCTGCACTATTTCAACCATGATATTATACACACAGCCGTGTATTATACAGAAAGCAGCACTATACAGGGAGCACTGACTGTATAATACAGATCTGTTTGTGTATAATATCCCAAGACAGTCAGTGCTCCCTGTATAGTGCTGCTCTCTGTATAATACAGGTCTGTGTATAATATCCCTGGAGAGTCAGTGCTCTCTGTATAATACAGGGCTGTGTGTATAATAAATTGGGGCAGTCAGTGCTCCCTGTATAGTGCTGCTCTCTGTATAATACAGGGATGTGTGTATAATATCCTGGAACAGTCAGTGTTCCCTGTATAGTGCTGCACTCTGTATAATACTGGTCTGTTTGTGTATAATATCCCGGGACAGTCAGTGCTCCCTGTATAGTGCTGCTCTCGGTATAATACAGGTCTTTTTGTGTATGATATCCCAAAACACAGAGCAGCACTATACAGGGAGCACTGACTGTCCCGGGATATTATACAGACACAGACCTGTATTATACAGAGAGTGTAACAGGTCACCTGGCACCCCGACTGGGTATCTCCTTTGAAGGATGCTCCTAGCGCTTCCTGAGGGCTCCAAGCACTCCAACAGACACCATAGCCACCACAGACCCCACGGACCGCCGCAGTCTACTTCCCACCTTGGACCTCCAACAAGGCTCCAGGTTCCAGTGGGTGAACCTCTCATCCAAGAGAGGGAAGCAGGAACAAGCTCTTACAAGAGCTTCAAAGTGATTATCCAAGGGAGGGTGCAGAGCATAGCAATCCCTTGTAGTGATATAGCAATTCCCCCAATAAGAGACAGGACTCTAGATTGAGGGTGAAGAAAAATTGAAGCTTTTAATCAAACACTCTGCTTTTATGCCCATTTTACAAGCATAGTACCGCCCACAGGGTTTTGAAGAACAAACCAATCAATACATTACAACACAGCTAAACACTCCCATTCATACCAGCAGAAATCCTCCCCTCTGCCTGTGATACGATTACTGAACACAATGGGCTAACGTAATTATCAGAGGCAGGAAAATACACAGTTTTACACAATATTCATAACTTTAAGAGTATACATCACATTCACATAAAACTTACATTTTCAGAATCAGCATACTCCAGATACAAACATACTCCAAAAATCAGACAATTCCTTTCATTGGTTTAAAAGTTAGGTCGAAGTCCTTTGTGACCACTGAAGCATGGCTTTCCAGCCAAAACCAGTTCCACAGAGTCCTCTATCCTGGAGATAATTGGCTTAACTGGGTGTGGTAAGCCAACTATCTCCAGGTACAGAAAATGTCTCTATTTACAACAACAGCATAATTACACAAAAATACATAATTCCTATCATACTGAACCACCACATTCACCCTATCCCCAGATGGCTTGGATCTGAGCACTCAATATATCCTAACAGCGCTCAGATCCCACAAACACAGTCAAATCGCCATGGGGTTTAAGTCTAGCATGGGCTGATGAGAGGGTCCATAGTCATGAGGCAGGAGGTGGGCAATCAGGCTTCTCCATAACCCAGTGGCGAGGTTAGTTTTGCCACATCTCTCCCCTTTCCCACCAAGACTAACAAGGTACCTGACCTCCTGTGGGTCAGTGCCTTGGTTAGTCAAGCAACCCACCCACAACAAATAATCAGCAGAGTAGCCCACCCACAATACTTGGTTACTGCACCTGGGTAACCTGGTAGCCTGCCCCGTGAGTTCACTAGAGCTGAGTTGGGTGATGGTACTCCCGACCAGTGGGTTGCTTTGTGGGCAGAGACCAGTGGTACTCTGCCCTGGTGCCAGGGCTGCAGCTGGAGTAGCCTAGTTGGGGCTTGGCTGGGGATCCGGACAGGCCATCCAGCATCCCTGTGGGTCAGGTACAGAGACCACGGTCCCATCTGTACCGTCCGGGAGCTCAGTATCTCCCCTTGGTGGGATAAGCTGCCACTGGGGAGCAGGTCCGACTGTCCCTACTCCCTGTAGTTTGGGCACCAAGGTCCCATCTGCGCTGGTGGAGAGCTTAATGTCTCCCTTTGGTGGGATAAGCTGCCACTGGGGAGAGGTGCTAACAGGCTCCTCTCCCTGAACCATATACTGCTGCTGGGGTAGGGAACCAATGGTCTTCACTCCCAATACATTGTCCTGCTGCTGGGGAGCGAGACAGACTATTGGGGAGTAGGACCGACTGTCCCCACTCACTGTAGTTTGGATGCAGAGACCACGGTCCCATCTGCACCAGTGGAGAGCGTATTGTCTCCCTTTTGTGTAATAAGCTGCTGCTGGGGAGTGGGAATGAGGCTCTCCCCTTCTAGTATAGGACACTGCCTCTGGGGAGAGGGAGTAACAGGCTCCCCTCCCTGACACTCTCTCTGCTGTTGAAGAGGGAGACTGACTGTCTCCCCTTTCCATAATTTGTCCTGTCACTGGGGAGAGAGACCGACTGTCTCTGCTCCCTGTAGGACACTCTGCTGCTGGGGAGGAAGGGAGACACCTTCTGCTCCATGGGCTGTACACTGCCGCTGGGGAGAGAGACTGGTTGTCCCCTCTCCTTGGAACTCACACTGCCGCTGGGGAGGAAGGACAACACCTTCGGCTCCCTGGGACTCACACTGCCGCTGGGGAGGAAGGACGGCACCTTCGGCTCCCTGGGACTCACAGTGCCGCTGGAGACTGGGTGTCCATATCCTCACCTTTTCAGTTTTTGCTCAAAGTCCATTGCTGCATGGTTCTCAGCACTCAACTGGCGCATTACTTGGAAGACCACCTCGTTCGAAGGGTCTGGGCCATACCAGACCACCTGCCTCTTTACCTCCTCAAGGTAAGCGTCGCCCTCGTAGTGACGTATCAGGTTGAGGTGCTCTTCACAGGGTTCTATCCAGGGTTTTGCTCGCTCCATGCTGCTGTAGGTAGGGACGCTGCGGAGTGGCTAGCGTTGCCCTCAATAACCTCTCATACGATACCAGTCAGTGTCTCCAGGGTGCTGCTCCTTGCGCTAGGACGCCATCCCACCGCTGCCACAACTGTAACGGATCACCTGGCACCCCGAAGGACAGGAGCATTCTTCAACAGAGGTACCCAGTCGGGGTGCCTGGTGATCCGTTACAGAGAGCAGCACTATATAGGAAGCACTGACTATCCCGGGATATTATACACACAGAGACCTGTATTATACAGATAGCTGAGCATATACCCCATGTCCCAATCTCTAGACTACTAGTACCTGTCAACAGCAACTCCCAAACTCGTGTAACAGGGCTAAAGTGTGCGGCAGCTCACACAGATGATTCAGTGGTAAAGCGCACTCGCTGGCAGAGCCAAACTGGGAATCCAAAGCAGCCCTGGAAAAAAATGTATGCCATTCCTACAAGTCATTATATATATATATATATATATATATATATATTTATATATAGTACACTAAGCACACAAGCTCACTGACATGCGCAAATAGGCTCACTTGACAGACAAAACTGTCTGACTCACACACAAGCTTACTACAAACAAACTCACTTGTATAAACACAAGGCTCACTACAAAGAAGTTTAGGGACACACACAAGCTCACTAAAGACAAGCTCACTGACACACACATGCTCACTAAATAGAAGCACACTGACACACACAAGCAGTACTATCTTAACAGCGTTATGGGACCCTGGGCAAAGCAGTGCACTGGGGCCCTTCCTACACAACAACTCACAGGAATAAAATGTTTTATTATTGATAGACTGCTGAGTAGATAAACACAGTACACTGAATACGAACACAGAGAGACTGCTGAATACACACACACACAGATTTCTGAATGCACACAGACTCCTGAATGCACACAGGCTGATTTATACACGTGCACACAGGCTGATTTATAAACGTACACACAGACTCGCTGAGTCCACACACACACACAGACACACACACTGCTGAGTCCATACACACACACAAACTGCTGAGTCCATACACACACACACACACACACAGACACACAGACTGCTGAGTCCATACACACACACAGACACAAACACACAGACTGCTGAGTCCATACACACACACCGCTGAGTCCATACACACACACAGACACACAGACCGTTGAGTCCATACACACACACCCAGACTCATTGAGTCCATACACACACAGACCGGGTTGAGTCCATACACACACACACAGACACACACACACACACACACACAGACCGCTGAGTCCATACACACACACACACACACACACACAGACCGGCTGAGTCCATACACACACACAGACACACACACACACGGTCCGCTGAGTCCATACACACACACACACACACAGACAGCTGAGTCCATACATACACACAGACCAAGCTGAGCCCATAAACACACACACACACACACACACAGACCAGCTGAGTCCATACACACACACACACACACACAGACCACTGAGTCCATACACACACACAGACACACACAGACACACACACACACACACACACACACACAGACTGCTGAGTCCATACACACACAAAGACCGCTGAGTCCATACACACACAGACACACACACACAGACTGCTGAGTCCATACACACACAGACCGGGTTGAGTCCATACACACACACAGACACACACACACACAGACTGCTGAGTCCACACACACACACACACACACACACACACACAGACTGCTGAGTCCATACACACACACACACACACACACACACACACACACACTGCTGAGTCCATACACACACACAGACACACACATGGTCTGCTGAGTCCATACACACACACACATAGACACACAAACATACAGACTGCTGAGTCCATATACACACACACACAGACACACAGACTGTTGAGTCCATAGACACACACATACTGCTGAGTCCATAAACACACACACACACAGACCGCTGTGTCCATACACATACATAGACTTCTGAGTCCATACACACAAACACACACACACACACACAGACTACTGAGTCCATACACACACATAGACAGACTGCTGAGTCCATACACACACACACACACACACACACACAGACTGCTGAGTCCATACACACACACACAGATTGCTGAGTCCATACACACACACACACACACACACACAAACACAGACCGCTGAGTCCACACACACACACACACACAGGCACACACACAGACACACACACAC